CGTTCTGCTCATCAAAGTTCAGGTGGACAAAACTAAGCTGTATTGGTTAACGGTGATACTCGAATACTTTAAAAAGGCAAGACCTCAGACACATTACGATGAGCGGAATAACGATAAGCTGGACACAGAAGATCACGTGTGGCATCATGCCATCTACATGAAATGTGCAGAAGCGGCAAATCCACAGACAGGAAGCAGATCAGTGGCTGCCAGGGGCTGGGGGAGGGGATGGAGAGTGACTGCACGTAGGGACATGGTCTGCTTTGAGGGTGACAGAAATATTCTGGAACTAGATAGAGATGATGATCATACAACATTGCAAATGAATGTTACCACTGAATTGTGCCCTTAAAATGGTTAATTTTATGTGCTGTGAATTTCACCTCAACCTTTTTTAAATCTAGGAAATAGTTGCTACAGAATTCAGGACAGTGGTTAAGTCTGAGGGGTCCCCAGGGTGCTGACATGTCCTGTTTCTTACACGGGCGGTAGCTACCCAGGCACTCACTTTGTAATTACGTGTTTCTGGAATTCTGTGCTCTCACCAGCTCTTAATAAATAAAAACAGAGAAGGGACGAGAGGGGTCTGAGCGCCGCACCCTGCTGGCGTTTGAGGGTGGGAGTTGGGTTGGGTTCCTGCAAGGTTCGGGCCCAGGCTGTGTTTGCAAGGACTCTGGGCACCAGAGCCGATCCTGTGTCCTAGGTTATCATCGGGAGCATCTTTGAGGTCATCTGGGCCGTCATAAAACCTGGTACATCCTTTGGAATCAGCGTGTTACGAGCCCTCAGGTTATTGCGTATTTTCAAAGTCACAAAGTAAGTCTTTGTGGGAGGGATGGGCATTGGGGCCAGGAGGGATGGGGCACCTCCAGCATGTTGGGAAGGTGGGCTCAGCGGCCGCCACCCAGGCCCAGCCTAACGCCCACCCCCACCCCCGGCCTCTGTTGGCAGGTACTGGGCGTCTCTCAGGAATCTGGTCGTCTCTCTTCTCAACTCCATGAAATCCATCATCAGCCTGTTGTTCCTCCTTTTCCTGTTTATCGTCGTCTTTGCACTTTTAGGAATGCAGCTCTTTGGCGGCCAGTAAGTGCTCGGCAACTTCTCCGACTTCTGCTTCTCTGGGGTCTGACCCAGGGACCCCTTCAGCCCCCACACGCCAAACTCAGTGCCTCCAGAGACCGTCCTCATGCCGACTGCCCATCTCGTGGCCCGGACGCCCTGTGCACGCACCCAGACAGGCAGGGCCCTGGGTACCACTCAGATGTCCTTCTGGGGGACGGAGACGTGAAGATGTTGCCCTGGAAACAAGATGCTAAACTACGCCCTCACGACACCTGGGGCAGGGCCAACGGGAAATGTCTGCGTTTCCCCCACAGGTTTAATTTCGATGAAGGGACTCCTCCTACCAACTTCGACACTTTTCCAGCAGCAATAATGACGGTGTTTCAGGTACAACCCTAACCCAGCCCCGCGCCATGCAGGGCCACAGGAAAGCACCAGAATCCAGAGCAGAGGGAGGAGGACCGTGGGCAGGAGCCTTTATTGGGGTTTCCCCAGGAAGGAGTCGGGGAGGATGAGCCGGTTGAGGATTGGCTCGTTTGAATAATTTCGGCAGGCTCTGGGGCGTAGAGGCTGACCAGTGGTCTGGTACCTGGCCCTGGAGTGATTCGGGCAGAGAATGCTGGCCTGGGGGGTGAGAGCCTGATGGGGGAGGTGGTGGAAGTGTGGGCCCTGGTTTGTATTTGAAAAGTATGTTTGGGGGCCAGTTGTTCACTATCCCTAGGATTTAGCCAGCCTGACTCCCTCCAGGGTCAGCAAGGCCCAGATGTCAAAGCATCAGAATACAGAAAAGACACACCCACCCTCTCCCAGAACTGCAAGACACCCCTCCCCTATTCCAGAGCAAAGACATTGACCCTGGGTGGTCTCCCCAAACCGGCGTCTGTACCCCTGTGGGCACATGATCTGAGGATTGGGACGGGCCCCGCTGGGACCGCCGGAGCCTTTCCAGTGGGTTCTGTCTCTTTGGAGGGCAGACAGTTATGGAAAGTGGGACTTCGCTCCCCGCTTCTGGGAGAGTGGTTTCTAAATAAGACCCCAAGGTGGGGGTTGGAAAGAGGACCCCATGTAGCAGAGTTCTGA